CTTGCTTGCTTGCTTGCTTATTTATTTATTTATTTATTTATTTATTTATTTATTTATTTATTTTATTTTATTTTATTTTATTTTATTTTATTTTATTTTATTTTATTTTATTTAAGGCATTTCTATAGTCGCTCATCTTTCAACCAACCTTGGATGGCACCCAATCAAAGTTTATCATGACAGACTTAGAGTGCATTCAATTAGTTAACTTACAACATTTATATAGGTACCTAACTCACATTACCGTGACCCCAGGCAACCTACATCAAATAAACACCAACCAATAAAACCAATGCCACCCTTCACCCCCAATTATTACAGATAACAAAGTATACAATTTTAAAAAAAGAATCCTAGCTAGCATATCAAATGCACGTGATAGAGGTCAACCAAACACACATTATCCCTCTCAGAAGACATGTTTATTTATTATTCTGGCCCAGGCTGGAGGTAAAAACAGTTTTTAAAGATTTTGGAAAGCTAACAGAGCCAGGGCCATCTCCCCTTATGGGAGAGATCATTCCAATGAGCAGGCACTAATATAGAAAAGACACATCTCCCAGACACCATCAAATGACCTTGCCATAAGGACAGAACCTGTAGCAACACCCTCCTGAGTGGATGAGACAGGCAGAAATGGGCAGAGAGATAGTTCTGCAAATAACTAGAAGTCTCCACCTTTAAAGACATAAACACAATGTTATCTCTTCAGAGGTGGAATTCACTTACCTTCCCTACCGGTTTGCAAATGTGAGCGTGCAAGCACACTTCACTTGCCCACACCTCCTCTGCACATGTGCACAGCCTTCCACGCATGCACAGTACTCACACATTACGTCTGGGTGGGTGGGCGGAGCCTCCCGCAGTAGCCACTACCGATTTGCACGAACCGGACAAAGCCGGTTGAATCCCACCTCTGTATCTCTTCTTGTTTTAATTACCCATGAAGCCATGGAGGTGCAGTGGTTAAAATGCAGTATTGCAGGTTAATTCAGCTCGCTACCAGGAGTTCAATTCTCACCAGCTCGAGGTTGATTCAATCTTCCATCCTTCCGAGGTAGGTAAAATGTGGACCCAGATTGTTGGGGGCAATATGCTGACTCTGTAAACTGCTTAGCACTATGAAGTGGTATATAAGACTAAGTGCTATTGCTATATACCGGGGTGTCACGGCCCGTGGGCTGGATGCATCACATGCTGGCCACACTCAACCCTGTTTTAGCAAAGGGGGGGGGAAATCATGATATGTCATGCGACGACAACATGATACCATGAGTTTGACACCCCTGTATATACCATCCCAAGTAAAATTGATTGTTTTGTTTCTTTTTTAATTCTTTCAAAATGCCCATATTGATACGAAATCAATGTGAAGCAGTGGTGGGTTCTTCCCGGTTCGATCCGGTTCGGCCGAGCCGGTAGCGGTGACGATATGATGTCACCGAACCGGTTCTCTCCCCCACCCTTCCTCCCACCCACCCACCCATGTTATTCTTACCTTTTATTTGGTCCCACCCCCAATCTATTGCTGCCTCCTGAGTCCCAGCTGATGACTAGAGGGAAAAAAATTGTTTAAACTCTTGCTGTGGGGCTTCAAAGGGCCGTCCTACAGCTGATCAGTGTTAAAAGCAAACAAATGAGTCGGGTCGTAAGTGCGAGGACTGGTCGTAAGTGTGAGGACCTTCCAGAAATGACTCTGACCAGCTAGCCACGCCCACCTAGTCACATGACCTCCAAGCCACACCCACAAAATAAGCCACACCCACAGAACCAGTAGTAAAAAAATTTAGAACCCACCCCTGATGTGAAGCCTCTGATTTATATACACTTACTGATAGAATATGTATTACGAATTAGAACTATACCAGTTTGTGAAGCTGACTGCATAATGACCAGCAAAAAATGGAAGACAAGGGGAAAGGGGCACCCTGATCTTTGCCTCTCCTAAATTGTGGGTGGAAAAAGTTTTTTTTTCTTCTTATCTAGAAAAAAAAGTATAGGAATGAAGAAACAACAGTGGATATATGGAGGGTCACAGACTGAAAATGGCAAGAGTCATGCTCTGCAATTTTCGCGCTAAGGTTGCCAAAAACTTACTGCTGTTTCTGCACTTCCTACTTCTGCAGTGATGAAATGTATCTCTTGTGTTCACATTATAAACCCTGCAGATGCTACATTCTTCTATTCATAATAAAAGGGCTTGCCTTCTGGAAGACTGCTGCTGTTGTAGTGCCTCATAGATGGAAAGGACTTGCAACCTTAATCAGCCATATGGCATCAACATGTGGAATAGACACAAGAATATTGTCATGGCCCCATTGGAGCCCGGTTCGAATGAGAAGGAGTTGAAACTGGGACCATCTAAGAGGGATGGCACTCTCCCTTGGCATGCTTGGAGAGGCCAGGGGCTGAGAACGATGCTATCCTGAGCCCCTTAGACATTGGGGGAGGTGGTAGACCAGTTGCCTGCCTGCACAGACACAGGGGAGGATCAACTGCTGACAGGTAGTGGTGCTAATAGGCAGCAGATCTCCTCCACTCGATCCAAGGGCAAGGAGCCCAGAGAAGGGCTACAAGGGAGGAGGTCTCCCCACCCTCCTCACAAGGAACACCTGGAGTGGAGTAACTTAAGGAGAAGGCGTGAGGAGTTAGTCTTTGCCAGGAACAATTGTTTGCTTTGGATTACACTCCCCCGGCTTCGACTTGTGCCTGTTGCTGTTTGCCTTGCCTTGCTTTGAAGATTGCTCTTCGCCTTTTGTCTTGGACCTTGCCCTTCTCTTGTGGATTGCATTTGGCCTTTGCTTCGCTGTATCCTTGCAATTGCTTCTTGCCTTGGACCTTTTCTTTGCCCTGAGGATTGCCATTGTCTTGTTCCTGGACTCTGCCTTGTGGACTGGACTTGGAACCCTGGACTTTGTCCTGTGAGATTCTCCTACTCCGTGGACTTTATTTGTGCTATAGGGGCTGTTGTTTGGGGGCTGAGTGTGGCTGCCTTCAGGGTCATGTGGGGGTGGAACCTTAACAGTTATTGTAGGGACCATTTGTTGAGAGAAATAAAGGACTCTCTAGAGGCCTGCCTTGCCTTTGACCATCTGGGTCATAACAAATATCCTGAATTATGCACACACCTTCCAAATTGCCCAGTCCCCATCTAGAATATCATCTAGGCTTAAATATTTTATTTCTTAATTTTATTTATTTATTTAAAACATTTATGTGGCCACCAGCCAACTCTGGTTGACTCCCTGTCAAGTTTCTACATTTAACAATGTAGGTTTCAGAGAAAGGGGGGGAAAAGTAACCTTAAATTTTCCTTTGCTTAAAATTTAGGTTCCATATATTGCAGAAGGAGACCGAGAAGTGGCTGTTTCTCCAATGACAGTGCCAAACTTTTAAAATAGCCTTCCTACAAAGTACTCAATGCTACCTTTGTCCCTAAGCTTCAGGGAGACCTTGTAATTGAACTATTCAGAAGGGCATTTGCTGGCTGAAATCTGTTTCTGGGACACCATTTAATAGCTTTGATAGTGTTACTGAAGGTTGATTTTATTAGTTTGATTTATTATTTTATTAGCATGGGTAAGAGACTTTCTTAAGGATTACCCTGTGGCAATAAGAACGGCAAAATGAAATTATTTCCGTGCTGTTATTGTGTCTGAAGAACGCTGACCATCAGCCCTGTTTAAGGTAACTTGCTCCCTTAGGATGAGTTAGGGGAACACTTGCAGACTCATTGTGAGGATTAGTCTAGGCATTTGTCAGATAAAATCGATTGGATTCACTCAGAGTTGCACTTCGGCTGCACAAGTTTTACAGAGTTGACTAAAGTATAGTTTTTAGTTATCTGGGGAGAGTTTGATCCTGTTAAGTCCTGACGAAGCAGACAGAGTCCTTGGTGTTATACGTTTGGCCATCTGCATTTTAGATCTTTGTTACTCCTGGCAGTAAAGGCCTCCTACAAAGCCTCCTACCTACCACTTGTGGTGGTTAATATTTCACTGAGGGATGGAGTACTGCTGCAGGCTTTTGAAGAGGCAGTGGTTTATCCTTTGTACAAGATGCCTTCACTCCATTCAACAGAGCTGGACAGTTTTTAATCCAGGATCAATCTTCCCTTTTTAATAAAACTTGTTGACAAGGTTCCCAGTTTCCAGCTCCAAAGGGAGAAAATGAATTATCTGGATTCTTTTCAGTCAGAATTCAAATCTGGCATTAGCAGTGAGATGGCATTGATTGCACTTGTCAATGACCTCTAGTGAGCTTGGGATGGGGGGGGCAGTGAATCTATCCTGGCCAGCAGCTTAATTCCCAAGCAGTTTTCAATGTCATCAACTACTTTCTGGACCAAGTTAGGTGGTTTGAAATGACATTCTTCTAGAGTGGTTCTCCTTCCTTCAAAGCCGGTTGCAATCAGTGACAAAGAGGATGAGGTCTACTCTAAACTCTTTGTAATTATTGCTATTTTGGCAATAGTTATAAAAGGGGAGTTCAAAGACCATGGAGGGAAAGGAATTATGGGACATGGAACATCTGCAGGAATGGACAGTGACTTCAAAATGGTGGATGCAAACATGTGATGCGTGTTAAAAAGAGATGGCACTTTGATCACCTCATCCCATTTAAAGCCAGTGGTTGTCTCTCAGATGACCCTACTGGATGGGTTTGTAGGTGGCTCCTCTTCCTAGACTGAGCACAAACATCACCCTCTACCTATAAGCCAAAATGATACAATCCAAGTAAAATCTTACTGTGATTTTTTTTTTCATTATGAATTTGAAATAGAAACAAGAAATTGTTTCTGTCTTTGTAATTCAATGTATTATGTGGGAAGTAATGCACTGTTCAAATGTTCTTCCCCAAAGGTTACCCCAGTGACACAAAGACACCATGGTAACAACTGCTAAGCTTTGGTAGGGAAAAGTTGGGATGGTTTTGACAGGCTGAATAGAAAAGTAAAATAATTAAAGTAGCAATTCTCAACTTACTTATTGCAGAATAAATAATATTGAACTCAAGTGTGCTTTATTCTAAGTAAACGTACTTAGGACCACATTACAGACATAACTGCACTGTGACACTGAAGCAGAACAACATGAAGACGACAATTAAATGCTCTTGGTTTGTTCAGCCTCTGCTACATGACAACACTGAAGTCAAAGATCAGGGTATCTTCCAGGACATGCTTGTTCATTTTTATGGTGCTGAAACTGAATGGTAAATCCTGTTTCCTGAAAAGAGGTAGAGGATAGATTTCAATTGTTGATACTGGATATTTGTTTACAAGGAAACGCATTTAATGATGACCTATGGATTGCAATTGTGGACTGTTTTCTTAAAAGCAGAAGATATGTTCCTTATCATCAGTTTTGCAGTGAGTTTTTTTAAACATGAGCTGAGCCTGCTGTGAATTCCACTCACCACAAGCAGCCAACAGTAATGATGGAAAAATAAAAGAAATCCAGTATACATTTGACTGGCTTGAATAATTATTCACTGGCAAAATTTGGTCAGATCTTCATGCTAAAGCAAGTAGGACACTCAAATATCTGCAAATCTAGTACAAACGGCCATTTATAGAAGAAAACCAGGCAAATGTAATGCTTAAAATTTTCCTGTCCAATTCTTACAAACTTAATCCCTTTCCAGCCATTTTCTCCCCAAATAGGTCTGAGATCAGAAACACACCTGCCACTAAGAAGTAAGCAGGAAAGGGATTGTTGAGGAAAGAAAAAGAGATAAGAAACTCCGAGTCTAAATGTTGCTCTCATAGGTCTTTATTTTTCCTGATCTCTGGAGCCCTTTTTGAACATACAGATTGTCCTAGACGTACGACCACAATTGAGGCCAACATTTCCATTGCTAAGCAAGACAGTCGTTAAGTGAGTTTTGCCCCATTTTACAACCTTTCTTACCATAGTTGTTAAATGAATCACTGCAGTTGTTAAATTACTAACACGGTTGTTAAATGAATCTGACTTCTCTATTGACTTTGTTTGTTAGAAAGTCACATGATCCTGGGACACTGCATCCATCATACCATGTTTCCATGAAAATAAGACCCTGTCTTATATTTTTTTGAACCCTGAAATAAGCGCTTGGCTTTATTGCCATGCGCTCAAAAGCCCAATTGGGCTTATTATCAGGGAATGTCTTATTCTGGGGGAAACAGGGTAACTACGTACCAGTTGTCAAACCTCTGAATTTTGGTCACGTAACCATAGGGATGCTGCAATGGTTTTAAGTATGAAAAATGGTCACAAGTCATTTTTTTCAGTTGTAACTTTGAACAGTCACTAAACGAATGGTTGTAAGTCAAGGACTACCTATACTATCAAACCACCAGAATATTGTCCTGCCATTTTGAGGCAGGAAATCTGAAGACTATATACTCCATGCTCTAACACAGACTCACTCAGTCGCTCTCGTCTTGGAAGCACCAAGGATTAGCCAGTGACATCACTGTTACCCCAGGGACACCAATTTGGGGGTTCCTTTCATGTCTCCATTAAGTTGCCCACCAAAGTGGTACCCATCTACCGTATTTTTCCATCTATAAGACGCCCCCATGTATAGGACATGCCCATGTTTCATATGGAGAGTAAGTAAGCACACTACAAGCCATCACTATGCAGAAGCTATTTTATTAGAGAGTGAGTAATACAAGAACAAGAAATGCATCACAGGAACAATAGAGATGAAATCTAGAGTGGCAATGTGAAAGTACAATAGAAAGGAATGATAGAGCTCCATATAAGGTAGAGGCTCGTCTGGCAGAGCTGGAGGAAGGGGATGGGCCATGCCTTCTCCTCTCGGTCTCCTGTGTATAAGACGCCCCTCCATTTTCAAATAAATATTTTTAAGAAAAAGTAGTGTTACTGAAAAAATACAGTAACTATTTGTAGTCACCCTTTTTCAAACTGCTGGGTCAGCAGTCGCTGGAGTGAATGATGGAAACTCACTCCATTACACAGCAGCACTCGCATCTCAAACACGGGCTTACTAATTGTCAACCCAGCATCCTAACCACGTGAGCCACCACGCTCCAAACATAGATTTAGACTTAAATTTAGATTTAGACTATATGGCGCTACATGGGGCTCCCCTTGAGGAGCACCCGGAGGCTCCAGCTGGTCCAGAACGCAGCAGCGCGGGTAGTGACGGGAGCAGCATGGCGCTCCCATGTAACACCGCTCCTGCGCGAGCTGCACTGGCTCCCGGTGGTCTTCCGGGTGCACTTCAAGGTGTTGGCTATCACCTTTAAAGCACTCCATGGCATAGGGCCTAGCATAGGGCCTAGCTATCTCCCATCGACCCGTGCGCTCCCACAGAGAGGGCCTCCTCGGGGTGCCATCAGCCAAACAGTGCAGGCTGGTGACCCCCAGGGGGAGGGCCTTCTCTGTGGGGGCACCTACCCTCTGGAATCAGCTGCCCCCAGAGATAAGGAGAATCCAAGACCTCAGTGCCTTCCGTCGTGCCCTTAAAACCCATTTTTTCAAGCAAGCCAGGCTGGCTTAAGAAGAAATTTTTAAATGTTTTAAATGTTTTAATTGGTAGTGAGTTTTAATTGGGCCAAATTTATATATCTTTTAATTGTTTTTTAATATTTGTACTGCATGTTTTTTAATTCTGGCTGTACACCGCCCTGAGTCCTCAGGGAGAAGGGCGGTATAGAAATTCAATAATAAATAAATAAATAAATAAAATGGCATACAAACCAAAGAATCATCAATATTCAGGGTCCCAAAACTCTAACCTTCTCCAACATTTTCTCATCTTCTTCATCCCTTGGCCCTCTAGGATAAATGATCTTGTACTTCTGCCAAGAACACCTGCCCTTGATTTCACCTCTGCTTTTCTGGCCCTGAGACAGCAAGTGGCTTTTAGATAGATATTAGTCTCTCTGGTGCAGCAACTGAAGTCAAATGCTCAGGAGGCGGCTTTCAGCATTGTCAGAATTCAGCCTCTCTTCCCTGCCCAAAGGAGGATTAAGAAATGACATCATTGGCGAGATAGATCCCAAAAGTGACATTTAGCAGTACAGGAGTTCAAGACTCTCTCTTCTTTTTCACTTCCTTACTGAATAGAATGGTTATAAGCCATTTACTAAACATATAGCTCCATAAGTTATATGTTTCCGTGCATTATCCAGTATATAAGCATTCGCTAGCTAGGTAGAAATTATGTCTACATGACGCCTGTTGATTAGGCCAATTTACTTCCATGGTTTGTCAGGTTGGTAAACTAGATTTCTTTGGAAAGTTGACAAGCTCCTACATTATTCCTCACCAACCAATATGCTCACTACAAGTAGTCATTGACTTGAGACCATAATTGAGTTTGGAATTATAGTTGCAAGTCATTGTGGTTGTTAAGCGGGTTACCTTGTGACTGGACTCTATTTTATGACATTTTTGTGACAGTCACTAAGCAAATGCCACAGTCATTAAGTGAATGTGGTGGTCACTAAATGAATGACATGCTCATTAAGTGAATGAATTTTACCCTAACTGGAAGTAGTAGGTGGAAAGCAGCAAAAAAAAAAAAAAAAAAACTCACAAATTGCAGTCATGTAGCCAGGGGACACTGGAGATGGCCATAAAGGTGAACCGGTTGCCAAAGACCCAAAATGCAATGACATGACTGTGAGGCATGTGTTGCTATTGTAATTTCAAAATTGGCTTATTAAGTAGCTTTTGGTAAGTGCATCCATAGCAATAGCAATAGCACTTAGACTTATATACTGCTTCATAGTTCTTTACAGCCCTCTCTAAGCAGTTTACAGAGTCAGCCTATTGCCCCCAACAATCTGGGTCCTCATTTTACTCACCTCGGAAGGAGGGAAGGCTGAGTCAACCTTGAGCCTGGTGAGATTCAAGCTGCTGAATTGCAGGCAGCCGGCAGGCAGCAGAAATAACCTGCAATATTGCATCCTTACCACTGGGCCACCATGGCTCCTATCCATAGCTAAGCAATAAGTCATAAATTGAGGACTACCTGTAGTACTGAAGGTAATATATAGACATAATGACTAATAGCCTTTATTAGTCTTATCCCCCATATCTGAATGTCCCGTTCTTTAAAATGGATTATGTCACTATTTTTCCTAAGTGCTCCTTTATTCTACATTGTTCAACTATTTGAGACATGTAGACAGCACTATTTGGGGTTTGTCAGCACTTTTAGAATGTGAGAAAATATCATGGGGATCCTTATAAAAAGGATGGCTGTCCTATTGGGTGTGTCTAAACACAAATACTTATTTCATGGAAAGGCACACAGCTGAGGCTACAGGTCACTCTTCTCAAACCTGAATATGTGGAGGACATGGGAGCAGAGCCCCAAAATGCAACCTACTATTTTGCATTTATTTGGTTCTCTCATTTGAATTATTATCCAAAACTCTTTCAACCAACTCTCCTGATATGTAAGCTGTGTTTACATTTACATGCGTCATTCACTCCTTGATAGTACAGTGGTCTACGCACCCTGTTATTAACACAGCTGCCTGCAATTTACTGCTGGTTCGAATCTCTCCAAGGCTCAAGGTTGACTCAGCCTTCCATCCTTTCTAAGGTAGGTTAAATGAGGACCCAGTTTGTGGGGGCAATAAGCTGACTTTGTATAAATATACAAAAGTATGAAGGCTATTGCTTAACGCATTGTAAGCCGCCCTGAGTCTCCGGAGAAGGGCAGCATATAAATCAAATTTTAAAAAAAACAAAAAAAACCCTCCTCCTGACCACCATTCTAATATTCATCCCCTTCCATATATAAATGGGCAGAAGAAATTTGAGTAACAGAAGGAAGAGGGGAAGAAGTGGGAGTAGCTAGCTGACCTTTATGTTGGGAAGAATTTGTGTATCATTTACAGTAACGTTTGGCTCTCTTCCCTGCCCCGATCATTGTTGAGCAAACCTGAAGTTATTTTGCAAACAAAGAGCAGAATGAGCGAAATGGAAAGGCAGGTTTCTAATCCACAGGAATTATTAAACTATAAATTAACACAGGGTAACAAGTGCCTGCTCAGCTGTGCAGGTGGACAAAGACAAGAAGATAAAAATGGTTTGCAAAACCCTTTAGGCTGTCTCCAAAAATCAGGCCTCATTAGGCCACTGAATGTGTATGCGGTGGACTCTGACTCGTTATTCCATACATCACAATCTCACAACCAAATACTGCAGGCCATAGTTCAAAGAATTAAATCATAGACTTTCTCAGCATGCAACCT